ATCATTGTCGATCGTCATCGATCTCTACCGACCACCGTCGAGCATTATTGTTGTCGTTAACCACCATCGATTGTTGATCACCACCAATCATCATCGATCACCACCAATCATCATCGATCACCACCGATCGGAAATCACCAGTCGACGTTGTAACTTAGAAACCCTAGCATTCATGTCTAATCTGTGGAACAAGGAGTCTCTGTAATCATCAACCTATAGTCGATCACCGTTAACTGTCGACGCTCGTTGTCGACCACTGCTGACTCTCGTCGACAACCATCGACCACCGTCCAGCACCATTGTCGATGTCAACCACCACCGACCGTCGTCGATCGCTGACCACCGTCGATCACCACCAATCACAGCCAATCACCACCGACCGGAAGCCGTCCGTCGACTTGTAACTTAAAAAACCTAGCAATTGTTTCTCATCCATAGGATAAGGGGTCTCTGTAATCATCAACCTATAGTGAATTTTTACATATGGGTCAAGCTTTGTGGTTTTTTTCTCTTTACCAGTTTTCATGTAAAACTTTTTTGTGTTATTATTGGTTGTTTTCTTTCACCTAAATGTGTTATGAATTCTCTCGCAAAGACGATAATCTATTACTCTACTGCCGTGAATTTTCTAGCACGCCTCATATATATCCATATATAATTGCCATAAATCAAAAGGAACATAATCTAAACCATAAAATCTATGCATGCATACTATTTAGGTTAAATCAGCCATTCTTGGGTTAAATGGTTCATGCTAAATTAATGTGAAATTTGACCCTAAAATATGGAGATTATTTTGGTCGGGTTCGAGTTCGAGTTGTTGAATTTGAGTTAAGACACTAACCCATTCATCATTTGGGTCAAATTTGACTCAATTAGCTTCAAATTGAGTTAAATTTGGATCAAACTCAAAACCCAACCTACAGACCTAAATTAATACCCCGATGCATTAGGAAATGAAACAGTCATAAATATTGTAATCATGACATTAGGAGACGTAACACATTCTATCATAAATTGTCTCGCCCTTGAAATAAGGAACCTCTTTGAAGTTCAATGCTTGGCCACAAAATCCGTCTTCGAGAAATGAAAAGCTTTACACGTGTATCAAAGTAGTTTAAAAGACCCTTGAACAAGAAAAAAGTGACTTCGGATAAATTTAAGCACTACTTGGATTGAGAGAATCATTTGATTGTAAGCATTAAGCTTCAAAATGAATCTTCGAATGTGGAGAATGGCTCCTGAGCTTTCCTTGGCAATCAGAATAATGTGTGTATTGAATAATTGAATGAAAATGCACAAAAATATGTCTTAGGAAAGAATGGGTAAAAATAATCCTATGCATGGCTACCTATGAATGGTCACCTTATGCTCACAACAATTACTTAAAATTTGCTCTCATAATTAAAATATCTATGCTCCTTGAGTTCATAGCGATCACTTTCTCCTGAAATAAACATTAGAATGGTTATGGACAACTTCTTAATTGTTGAACCCAAAAGTGTCAAAGAATCACACCCAAGGAATAGAGTACGAGAAATGAGGGAGAAGAGATAACCAATGAAACAATGAGTGTCCAGAGAGATTTTTCTCATGGAAGGGTCCCCTATTTATAGGTATGAGAGGTATCCTGGGTACATAATTGCTCTTAAGCCTTTTTGATTTACAAAGAAATCCAAGCGCATGAAGGCCATTTGCACAATACATTTAGATTTTCCAACGAATGGATTATTAGTAGGCAGCTGCAATCTTCACTCATCGCTCCCATGCTTGTTCGTTAGGTCCCCATGGGCTAAACCATGTGGAGGCGGTTTGAAAGTCTCTTGGACAAAATTTATAACTACCTTTGAGGCCACTGACTTGCCTGCCCTGTTCGCTTGATGATTAGTTGTCCTCCGCTTGACTCGTTCGATGAGTATAGTACGTTCAAATATCATGTTTATCGGCAAACTAATCAAAAGAATGACTAGGCAAGACTCTGGGATGTTCTTCCTGCCTTCACATCTATTTCCCCTAGACAAATTGGATTATTTTATCAGTTGCTTTTTGAATATTTTGACCAAATATTTTGACAAAAGGGGGCTCATACCTAAAATATATTGTAACGGGTCTATTAAAACAATGAAAAGCACGTAACTTCATATATTGTATCTCCTCATCTATAAATAAGGGATCATTTTATGAGAAGAGACAAATTGATAAGACTGATTAATGTTGATTATTGTGCACCCTCATCTCTCTCTCTCGTCTTATGCTCTATTCCTTGAGTGTGCCTCACGAACAGATCATGATTCATCCCCGGGTAAGGCTTAAAATTTCTCTCTCGTTGAGAATTTTTTAGGATGCATCAACATATATATGAGAAGAATTTTTAAACAAACCATGCGGGTTTATTGTTTTTATAGAAGTGTTGTGTATATATATATATTAAATTACTTAGAGTAAGCAATTAATGCTTTGATGATATATTAGAAATTTACTAGCATGCTTATTTTAGAACTTCACTTTTTTACGTATTGGAAGATCAACATATACCTATGCTCAAATTATTATTTGCTTGTTCTCTTAGCATAATCTTTTCAATCACCATATCACATATTTATATTTTTGCATTTGTTTCAGTTAAAATGTTTAAAAATTGATTTTGATCACCTTTGTAAAAGAGCATACTTACATCATTCATGCGTACCTTTTACTTTATTGTAACTCATATTCCTTGGAAGACATTTTAATTTGCTTACTTCCACTAACAGCAAAAGGTATTTTAAAAGATCCAATCTCCACTCCCATGCTTCCTTTTATGGTATCATTCGACTACATCATGTATTGATGAACCACCTGTGAGTGTTACCTTCGATTTATTATTATAAAATTAGGCAACTGTGATGAACCAAAAAAAGGCACAGCTCACCAACATATTAAAACTCATACATATAGCATCTACATTATATATATATAT